GGGGTGGTCATTGGGAAGTGTGAAATGCCTAGCACTAATATTTCACAAGAAAATGGCCATGCAATAATCATAGTTAAACGTCAATTTGTGGCTTGCAAATTCAGATAAACAGCAGTGGACTTGCATTACATTTTTCCCTAAATTTTTTTGATAGAAACATAAATGGTACTTATTTAAATATATTATCACTGGTTTGGTGTAAAATAGTTAATATTTTCTGACCGAAATAATAATTCGAAATGTGCCTACCTCCTGCAAATGGACGTATTTGGCCAAGTTCTCCACTTTACTCCGCTGTTTATCGGCAATCTCGTCGACATCCTACAAAAAATGTAAATCATCTCAGACATGATGGTATCAAGAACATTTTAAACAAGTTTCAACTTGGTTTCAAGTAGATCATATCTGTTTAACCATCGACAAGGTAAATCCACAACTTTGTCCAAATTCGGCGCCATTTTGTCATCCCATGTCGCTTGTTAACAATTCAGCCTTATTACTCTTCCATCCAAGCCATTTCCATTCCACTAACAATAAATTTAACCCTTTGTAACAGGAGGAAACTAAAAAATCTAAACAAAATATAAGAAATACGCCATTTTATCACCATGTAAAATTTTGCTCACGAGTCTTTCAAAACATTCCGTACAAATATCGCGTGACAAAGTAACAGGGACGTGACAGGAGGGGGTGAATTATTTCACGAAGATAGACGAAGAATGCGTGAAATAGACTAAAAGCTAAATACAATCATACAAATGTTTGTTTTATTTCTTGTAGCGACAAATATATACATATTATTATCTATTAATATGAAAAAGTCATACAAATTAAATGTTAATTGTTGGTTTTACCATACTGTGTGGGCTTTCCTTTCATTTTTCAAGTCTCTACCCCCCCTGTCACGTCCCTGTTGCTAAACCACGCGAGATTTGTACGGAATGCTTTGAAGGACTCGTAAACAACATTTTACAGGGTGATAAAATGGCGTATTTCTAATATTTTGTTTAGATTTTTTAGTTTCCTCCTGTTATAAAGGGTTAAATTTATTATTAGTGGAATGGAAATAGCTTGGATGGAAGAGTAACAAGGCTGAATTGCTAACAAGCGACATGGGATGACAAAATGGCGCCGAATTTGGACAAAGTTGTGGATTTACCTTGTCGATGGTTAAACAGGTATGATCTACTTGAAACCAAGTTGAAACTTGTTTAAAATGTTCTTGATACCATTATGTCTGAGATGATTTACATTTTGTGTAGGATGTCGACGAGATCGCCGATAAACAGCGGAGTAAAGTGGAGAACTTGGCCAAATACGTCCATTTGCAGGAGGTAGGCACATTTCGAATTATTATTTCGGTCAGAAAATATTAACTATTTTACACCAAACCAGTGATAATATATTTAAATAAGTACCATTTATGTTTCTATCAAAAAGATTTAGGGAAAAGGTAATGTAAGTCCACTGCTGTTTATCTGAATTTGCAAGCCACAAATTGACGTTTAACTATGATTATTGCATGGCCATTTTCTTGTGAAATATTAGTGCTAGGCATTTCACACTTACCAATGACCACCCCCAAAAGTACCATCTCTGAACCATATAAGCACCTCAGAATAGCCAAAGCTTTTATGGTTTGGTAGATGCTTTCGATTCGAAAGTAGGTAGTTCGGCAGTGGCTGTACGACCATATGGTTTGACTCGGTACGCTTTACATATGTTGCATTCGTTAATGATCCTTTTAACTTTCGAGCGCAGTCTCGGAATCCACCAGTTCTCTCTTAGTGCGGCCATCGTGTTCGCGATACCAAAATGACGTACCTCATTGTGTGTATGCATAATCAATTTGTCCGTAAAGCCTCCTCCTTCCAAGTATATCGTCTGATACCCGGGAATTCGACCTTTACATTTCAGTAAACCAGAATCACCTTCTCGTATGACTTCCCATCCAGGTGCTCGTAGCTCTGAACTCATGTCTTCTTGGACCTTCTTCACCCATCGCACTTTTGACTGTTCTAGCTCGTTCGTCGTCAGCTGACCTTTCGTTAGGTTAGTTTTCTGTTTTCTGGCTCTTGCATTGCTTACAAATCTTAACGCCCACGCAGTAACACAAATAGTCTTCCAGTAGCTTGATCTAGGAAGTAGCAAGTCCCATTCCTCCGGACCCTTTTCTTCCGTATTGAAAGCTACTTCCGTCATCGGCTTTTGCTCGTCCAGGACAGCCTTTGTTCTCTCGAGCTTTGGTTGTTTTGGCCATTTGTCTTGGTTAACTAGCCACTCGGGACCATTAAACCAACCGTCCTTTTCCATTTTGTCGATCGAAGCTCCCCGACTCCCTAAATCAGCTAAATTTTCCTCGGATGGACAGTACTTCCAACTGATGCCTACTTCTTCCGTAATTTCAGCAATCTTCCGCGTCCGATTTGATACAAAGACTTTCCAGGATCTTTCTGGGCTTGCAGTCCAAAACAAAGCAACCAGGCTGTCCATCCACACTGTAACTGATGCAATTGGCCACCTTCTTAATGCGGCAACCAAATTCGTAGCCATATTGGCAGCCATCTGACCGCTATTTAATTCCAGCCTTGGTATGGAAGTGTTTCTCTTGGCAATTCTGGACTTTGACGTAAGAAGACCTTTAACTATTCCACTGGAATGTTCGATTACAGCTATACTGACCGCCGAGCACGCTGTGAAACTTGCATCAGCAAATAAATGCAAATGTATAGCTTTCACCTTTCGAATCTCCCTTGCTAGGCTTCTCGGAATTTTCACGTTTCTTAACTGTTATCGCCACTTTATCCAATCTTTGGACGTGCTGGTAGATACTTCTGAATTCCAGCCGACTTTCTCATCACACGCTTCTCTATAGATGCGCTTCCCTTCAACCATGGTCGGCGATATTATTCCCAAAGGGTCATATATGCTACTGAGTTCCTTAAGAATATGTCTCTTTGTCACTGGTGTTTCTTCCTTTGTAGGTTCTGCTCGAATCGCAAGTGTATCTTTTCTCTTATTTTATTTATGTCCGAGTATTTTGCTGGGATTTGATTCGTTGTCAAGTTCTTCGACATTCGACTCCCACTTGTGGACTGGGAACTTCCCGTCTTCTAGGATTTCTGTCGCTTCACGTTTGAAATCTTCAAGATCTGCAATATCACTTCCGGTCTTCATTAGATTATCAACATAAGTGTTCTCTTTTAACGACTCAATGGTGTTTTGGTACTCTTCTGGCTGCAGATTGAAGTGGCGTTGCAGGGTGGCACCAAGCATAAATGGGCTGGCTTCCACGCCGAAAGGCACACAAGTAAATCTTAAATGTTCTACTTGACCGTTAATGTCAAACAGAAACCGAAACGCGTCTCGATCATCTTCCTTCAAACCAACCTGCAGAAACGCCTTCTGCAAGTCTGCGAGTAGTAGATGGGTTGACATTCTGGCTCTGATTAATATGTCCCATAACAATGGTTGAAGTGGGGGGCCAGTGTGCATGCATTCATTGACGCTATTGGCCGTTGGATGGGGTCTGGCACTGGCATCGAATACCATTCTCACCTTGGTTGTAGAGGCATTTTCTTTAATCACCGGTTTGTGTGGCATGTAGAACACACGTTCACTAGTCGAGCTTTCTTTCGTCTTTTCAATGACTCCGTCTTTCAACTGTTCATGCACAATTTTCTCGTATTCATCTTTGAGCTGTTGATTCTGTTTCAACTTCCTGTTTACATTGTGGAGTCTCTTCCTACTGGGTTCTTCATTAGTGTTTGACAATACAGCTCCAGGTATCCATGGAACAGCAACTTCGTATCTCCCATCCTCTTTCCTAGTGATGTTTTCTTGGAATTCTGCATAAATTGTTGACTGATCTTTTTCCCCTCGATCCTCTACTCCCAAGAAATCTAGGGAATAGAGCTGTTCATAATCACTATGGTCACAAAGATACATGCACCTTGAATCTGCGTAATCTTGGCCGCCATGAACTACCCAACCGAAGGTCGTTCCTTCTACAATCGGATCCTCTGATTTTCCCTTGTAGACTTGATCAGTCCGTATTTTGCAATAGGTAGCATCGCCCAATATGACATGGATGGGATACTCTTCGCTTTCTGACCGGTAGAATGTTTTCTCGCGAAGATGCTCGTATTTCTCCTTTAGCTCTATGAAAGTCGGTCTTTTCACAGTTGTAAAATCTGGCATTTCTGTACCAGTAATCTCGATATTCTCACTTGCCCGTCCATCAACTGAATTGATTGTTACTTCAAACACTGGCATTGATGCCTTTTTGGACCCGTTTACAGTTAGGATGTTTCTACTCTCATGGCGCTGGGGTGATAGTCTTAATTGTCGCACTGCTTCCTTCGAGATGAAATTTCTCCCAGAGCCCGTGTCGAGATACGCCCAAAATGTCTTACCCTTAATTTTAAGTGGCGCAATAGCTGGTAAAGACTTCTCTTCAGAGGATGGGGAATATCCATTTAACATTGCGTTGTGGTTTTCTCGATTATTGTTTTCCTGCAGTTTATCACAAAGGCTAGCGTGATGTTTGCCCTTGCACTTGTAGCACCCCCTACTGCGACATTTACTTTCGCGGTGGCCTGGTCGACCACAATTAAAGCACAGTCGTTTTTCAACAAAGAACTGTCTACGCTTAGTCAAAGAGTCATACGATGTGCATTGGTCTCCCCAGTGCTGTCCTTCGCAATAAATACAGACCGGGCCCTTGCCTTTACCATTGGTAAACTCTCCCCCCTTTTGGGTATACCAGTTTCGCTCCCTCTTTCTTGGGTTTTCATGCTCCTTAGTTGATACCTCTTCTGTTTTGTTACGCTTCAACCACCCCTGTAATGCTGATAACAATTGTTTCATGTTCGAATCTTCCCAATTATCATCCATACGTACTAAATCAGGCTTAACCTGGGGGAGTTTATTTAAAGTAGATACCACCAACCCTTTTAACATAGCTTCTTCACTCAACGTTTGCAGTGCGTCATAGTTTTTGCAAAGACTTTCATAAAATTCACATACCTTATCATAATTTCTTCCTCTCACCGTCTGTAACTTAATTATCTCTTACATATGAGCTGCAATTACCAATTTATTATGACCATATTCCATTTTCAACCTTTCCCATGCTGTTTTGTAACCTTCTGACCCCGGCTTCAAGTTCGAAAGTCTACCTCTCACCTTCGGATTCACAAGCTCTAACATGTACCCAAATTTCTCAGTGTCCGAAATGGACTTGCTGTCAACTTGTGAGGAAAACATATTCTCAAACCTTATCCAGTCAGCAGAAGTGCCATTAAAGGGTGATATTTTCAACTCTGGTAGTTTCGATGTGCTTGCTTTAGCTTCTTTCTCCATCTGAATTTTCTTCTCTGCCAGCACTAACTCCGCTCTCATTCTTTCTTCCCACATTTCTTTCCCTTGTTGTTGGATCTGCCTACGTAGTTGCTCTTCTTTCTCCATCTTTCTGATCGCCACTTCTTCCTCAGCTCTCAAGTTTTCATGTCTCTGTCTATCGTCTAATACCCTACACAACCTCGCACGTTTCTCACACAGTGGTGCATACTCTGCCTTCAAATCTCTTGTCCACTGTCTAATAGATCTTTGTGTTGAATTTCCCAGTTCAATTTTTAATTCTTGTAAATGCGACACCAAGTCGTTCATATTATCCTGAATCTGCTGTGTTCGCTTGCATACTTGTTTGATTTCATTAAAATCCTCACTTTCCAATAATTCGTCGACGTCCTCGAGATAAAATTGCAGCTTTTCAATCTCTTTTCTAATCTTTTTCTCCTGGTCTTTCTCCTCCTGAGTGACTTCTACCGTATTATTCTCCTCAATTTCTTGTTGTTCAAGTTCATCCGCCATCTTGGATTTCGTAATACCCTCAATTTCTCGTCTTTACCCGCAAATATTTCGTTGTTTAATCCTAATCACGGCACCAAAATGTGCCGAACTTGTGTCGGCACACTAAAACTCTCGTATTATGTTTTAGTAAAGTTTAATAAACTATAAAAACTTCCACTTTTTACACAAAACTCTCGCTCACAAAGTCTCACATGTTCGTTGTTTTTCCCGATACTCAGGTCCCCCGCGAACAGGCTTGTTACCCACAGGTAACCCAATACCCCTATCTATAATATGTTCGTTCAGTGCTAGGTCAAAACGGCCCCGCTTCAATAATCATATGATTTAGACCAGGGGTTAAAGGGCAATGACATGCATGCAGGTGATATTTGACATGTGCGAGTGTTGCGTCTCACTAAATTTGCGTGTTTAATAATGTTTATCAAAGAAGGCAAAAATATATACAAGACAACCTCACATGTGGAATCTGTTCACTTACGCACTGCCTTGTGATGCAGTACAAGTACAAATACAAATGACAAAGCATTTTTAAAGGCTTTAAATCCTAAAACATAATTAAATCATACGGCACATTCAAGATTTTAATATCGTATTTCAGCCGCGTTTATACTGCTTGGGGCGCATTTGCTGCGTTATATTAATTTGGCTAAATTGCAGAATACCCGTCCACTAGTTATCTTTCACTGCGTAGCCAGATTTTCAGTGGCTGCGCAGTCACGCGTTATCAAATTACAATATCAAGGAAATACCTCTCCCTTGTTGATATCATGACGTAATTGTAATGAAGCTATTTTTAGTGGCTACGTGGCTACGCGGCTACGCAGTGAGTTTTTAAAAGAACGAGAGACTGATATGGTGACGTAATTACTAACAGTGGCGTAGCCAGCCCGACAATTTAGTACCGCTATGCAAATTCAAAATTATTATCATTATTCATTTCTTTAGCAATTGATTGTTTTCACAGTCAATGAACATGACATGTACGGGCTACCTGTACCGGTAGCGCCCACGGTGTGGTGCGTCAGCGGAGATACGATATATAAACAACATTTACGAACATCTAGATTCATTCGATTTAGACATTGTACGTTAGTTATATAAGAGATAATAAAGAGCAAAACATGGTGTCAGGAGTGAGATCTTTTAACTGAAGCCGTGTGGATATATTTTATTGAAAAAATATCGCAACACGAATGTTAAAAGTGCAAATATTTCGAAGATTTACGTGACCCAGTAGGCCGCCATATTGGATTTTCTGAATTCGGAAAAAAAAAAAAGAAAAAAAGCATGGCAACGTACCAGATTCCAGCACCAGAACCAATGAATTGCAATGGCGATGTCGCAAACAACTGGAAGAGTTTTCATGAAGCATATGAAGATTATTTAATAGCAACAGGCTTAGATCAGAAAGACAAGAAAGTTCAAGTGGCCACGTTGAAAAGTCTAATGGGAACTGAGTGCAAGAAAATACTTAAAAGACTTCAATTATCAGAGGCCGATATGAAAGATCCAGCTATTATTCTTGCAAAGCTGCAAGACCGTACCAGTACGAAATATTCTGTATGAGAGATATATTTTCCATAACACTGAACAGCAAGTACATGAAACTATTGACCAGTTTCTTATAAAGCTCAGGCAATTAGCTGAGCCATGTAACTTTGGAACACTAGAAGATGAGATGGTGAGAGACCGTCTGGTTCTTGGCTGTCGGGACAGTGCGGCCAGGACCAGGCTTTTCCGCGAGAAAGATTGCACTCTCAAGAAAGCTATAGAGTCCCTTCGTATAAGTGAGACCACAAGTGAACAATTGAAGAAAATAGAGAGAGAAGACAATCAAGAGCCTGTCAATTATGCTCAGAGACAAGATGCAAAGAAACAGAATGTTTCAAAATCAGTAGATCGACAAAGAAAAGAGAGCGGGAACCAACTTAAACAAGGTGGCAAATGCAAGTATTGTGGTGGAGCTCATGAACGGGACAAACATAAGTGTCCAGCCTTTGGCAAGTCGTGCCGAAAGTGTGGAAAGGCAAATCATTTCCAATCAGTTTGCATGCAGAAGCAAGGAGTTAACCTTATGAATGAAGAATCATCAGATGACGAGTATGCCTTTTATGTCGAAACTGTTGACGCAATAAGACATGTAGAAAGAAAGCGTTATTTTGTATCCCTTTCTTTTTGGGATAAGGACGGTGGTGAAAGTCAAATCCAATGCCAGCTTGACACAGGAGCCACCTGTAATGTCATGTCCTTCAATACCTTATGTGAAATCAAGCAGAGTGGAAGCCCAACCATGCAGCCAACTAACACCAAATTAAAATTATACAATGGGAGTTGTGTACCAGCCCTCGGAGAGTGTGACCTCAATTGCATCTACAATGGAGAAAGTCGCAGGCTTAACTTCAAGATTATCAAGGGCGAGCAGAAGCCATTGCTGTCTGGAGAGACATGTACAAGCATGGGACTTATCACTGTGCATATAGCTAATAGCATAAATACCTCTCCGATAACAGCTCCATCAGATATTTTCATGGAATATAAAGATGTGTTTGAGGGACTTGGCTGCTTGCCTGGTGAGTACCACCTAGAGATAGATCCTGATGCTCAACCTGTTAAGCATACCCCCAGACGAATTGCAATACCATTGAAAGCCGAGCTAA